GATGGCACATAACAACAACATTTATAATTAGGTGTTATTTTAGACTTGCTATAGTTCACTGAGAGTCACTAACAGGGAGTAAGTACTCCATGCAGAAGGACTTGGCTGCACTGTTTTAAAGCAGGTGAAGAATGCCCAGATGGGTGGGATGGAAAGCAGTCCCAGACTTCCTGGAGCACATACCACCATGAAGGGGGCTTGGAGAAGTCTCAGTTAAACATAAAAAGTTTCTTGTGTTCTTCATAATGTTGTTATGAGTACTGTAAAACACTTCTGTGAGTACAACGATGTTGAAATGTGCAAGGAGCTGGAGTCAGAAAACCAAAAGGGCCGAACTCACTCAGCATTTCTTAAGCTCAAGGAACTGAAGAAGAAATTCAAACCTCGAGTTGCTATAATCAAGGATGCTTTAGGCAGAGTATTAAATGATCCAGGAGGTATCAAAAGAAGATGGAAAGGGTATACTGAGTCATTCTATCGAAAGGAATTGGCAGACAAAGAAGAATTTAACGAAACAACATATGAGCAAGAGCCTCTGGTGATGAAGGAAGAAGTCCAAGCTGCTTTGAAGGAAATAGCAAAAAATAAGGCCCCAGGAATAAATGGTATACCAATTGACATATTTCAAGTTCTCTTGGAAACGATTCAAATTTATCTATGTTATGTCTCATATAGGTCACCATAACCTAGGCTAACAGCTTGGAAGGCATCTAGGCTTAAACATTTACCCACTCTATGAAATTATGCTTTGCTGTATGCCTTAATTTTCTGCTAATAAAAGCAAGGGCTATGACCAAAAGAGCTGAAGCCTTTCTATAAATATTGTCATTTATCAAAGGTCATAGAGTTTCCAGAGGCATGTTGCTTAGGAAGTGGATGTCACTCTTGCTTCCATATATATATGTTGTTGTTGTTGTTATGTGTCATCAAGTCGCTTGCGACCCATAGCGACCCTATGTACAACAGCCCTAAACTCCGCTCTGTCCTATGCCAATCACATTGTCTCCAACACACTCATCCGGATTACCCCAGTCACTGAATCAATCCACCTCATAGAGGGCCTTCCCCTCCTGCGCTGTCCCTCCACACTCCCAAGCATAATGTCCTTCTCCAAGGACCGGTATCTCCTCACAATATGTCCAAAGTATGTTAGATGGAGCCTCAGAATCCTTGCCTCCAAGGAGCCACCCGGTTTAACCCTTTCCAGGATGAATCTGTTTGTTTTCCTAGCA